TATATATCCTGTAAGTACATTTTGTTAATACCAGGCTGTACTACAGTGTGTACTGCTACAGAMTGTGTGTTTCTGCTGCAGCTCCAGCAGATGTTCGTTCATCTCAGGGTTCTGCAGCTCACCTGTGATCATGCTGGAAATGATGAGAGGGAGGATGATCAGTTTCAACATCCGCATCAAGATCTCTCCTGGGAAGCCAAAGTACTGTTTGTCAAGATGGGAGAGGGTCGCATACTCTCTGACCACAACGCCCAAACCAATCCCTGAAACATCAGACCACAGGAACGTTCACTGGATGAAGGAACATTTATCAAGAAAAGAAAAAGTTGAACAAATATTTTCAAAAGAAAATTCACTTTTTTATGCATCAARCAATAAAAAGTAGCTGACACTAGGTGTCAAACTTATTTAATATAAATGAATAAAACTACATGATAACGATGTCATAATATACAATAAATGAGCAAAAATGCAAAAGCCACATTGTATAATACATGCTGCTGCCTAATAATCCAAGACAATTTATGAAATGATGAGTAGGAAGTTTAAAGATCGTCCTGGTTTTACTTATGATGGAATGAAGAGGGGGAAGCATCTGGTGATCAAATAAAAAACCCTCTGTAAAAAACTAATTCTTGTCTGCTGCTCTGACGCACACAGGTGAGTGTTAGCACAACGCCAAGGTGGAAAGATATCAGCAATGACCTCAGAGTAACAACTGTTGCTGCTCAACAATCTGGAATGGAATCATTTTGTGTTCTTCATGTAGAGACGGATTGCTCACTGGTCGCAATGTCCCAGCAAATTCACCCCGAAGGTCAGACCATACAACGCTCAGAGAAGTGAGCTCTGTCTACAGGCCCCAGTTAGCAGGTCAAAGTTTAAAGTTCATAACAGGATAAGTAGAAAAAATGAGCAAGTCTGAATTGTTTAGTTGTACAGGAATAAACTTCTTCTGGCTAAAATCTACACGGCAGAAAGAGAAGGACCAGGGTGCTGCAATGGTCCAGTCAGAGTCCAGAACCTGAACCTGACTGAAACCTGTGGTGGGCCTTCAGAGAGCTGAGCAGAAAATAATTCATAAATTTAATTGAGTTTAAGCTGCAAAAATTTAAAAACTGTGCTAATACAAAACACACTGCATGTTGAGGGGCTGTCATGGTTGACACGTGTCTTCAACATCACATGGAGGACTGGGACAACTCCTGTGGAGTGGCAGACCGGGGTGGTGGTTCCCATTTTGGGACAGGAGAGTGTGTTCTAACTAGCGTGGGATCACACTTCTCACCCTCCCCTGGAATGTTTACTCCAGGGTGTTGGAAGGGAGGCTCCTATCGATCATCAAACCTGSRATTCAAAAGGAGCAGTGTGGCTTTCGTCCTGGTCATGGACCAGATCTTTACCCTTGCAGAGTTGCTAAGGGGTTTGTGGGAGTTTGCCTCTCTAGTCTACATGTGCTTTGTAGACTTGGAGAAGGCTTATGACCGTGTTCCTTGAGGCATTATGTGGGGGGTGTTGCGGGTGTATGGAGCGTATGGGTGTGTGATCCAGTCCTTGTAGAACCAGAGCAGGAGTTGTGTCAGTATTCTTGTTGCAAAGTCATACTTGTTCTTAGTGCAGGTTGGACTCCACAAGGGTTGTCCCTTGTCCCTGATCCTGTTTGTAGAGTTTATGGGCAGGATCTCAAGTTGCAGTCATGTGGAACAACAGGGTCTCRTCTCTGATTTRTGCAGATGATGTGGTTCTGTTAGCATCTTCARGCCAATWTGCACAGGTTCACAGCTGAGTGTGAAGTGGCACCTGTTGAAAGTCAGTTCCCTTTAAGTCTGAGGCCATGGTCCTTGACCGAAACAGGGTGGAATGTCCCTCCGGATCAGGGGAGAGTTTTTGCTTAAAGGGGAGGAGTTTAGGTATTTGGGTGTCTTGTTCATGAGGATGGAGCGGGAGATGGATCGACAGATTGGGGTCTCATTCTCAGTAATGAGGGCGTTGCTTTGGTCTGGTCATGGTGAAGAAAGAGCTGAGTCAAAAGGCAAAGCACTCGATTTACTGGCCCGTCTACGTTCCAACCCTCAGTTATGATCATAAGTCGTTGATCATGACTGAAAAAACAAGATCCTGGATACAAGCGGCCAAAATGAGCTTCCTCTGTATGAGTGGCCGGGCTCAGCACCAGTTGATAATTACTGTCCCAAAAATACTGAAAATACTTTTATCCTGAGTTAAAGGTGATRATGTCGTTTGCTTTCCCTCTTTTTACTGGCAGTAAATCCATGTTRGTGATAAAGTTTTTACAGCAGCAATTCAAGATCTGATGATGTTTCTTTGTAAAATGATTCATTCACTTTAATATAACATGATAACCTTACAGAGCAACATTTCTCTGGCCCAGGCCATGCCCACACAACACAGTAATAACACAGGCAGCGAATGACTGCCTTGTGGTGGCCTAGAAGTGGTCCATGCCTGGGCCAGCATCACATAAACCAAATTACAACTGGGCCAGTTGTGGCATGATATCATATAGATACTGTCATCATTGCCAGACCTGGCCCACAACAGTCTGCTCTGTGGGACACATTCAGATCTTTATAAAGGAGTGAAGGATGAGCCCAACAAACAATGTCTCTGCCATGTACARTATAAACAGAAACAGTAAAATATCAGCTCCATGTTTCCAAAAAATACTAAATTTAAAATTCATAAACTGAGATTCTTTTCTGAGAAGAGATGTATTGGTTCACCTTTAAAACTAACCAGCTGAGACATTTTGAGTTCTTAAATGACAGTATTTACACCTTTTTGTTTTGTTTTAAATGTTTTTTTTAAATAAATTCCAGAAAGAAAAGAAGATCTGGYGTGTTTTTGTCCTGAGGTTTCAGCTGATTTTGTTTTGTTGATTGATGAGAGCGGTGCAGAATGCTTCCCATCTCTTTGTGCTCATTCCGTTTCTGATTGGACTGTTTGTTTTTATTTCCGTCCCATCACTACATGTTTGATTTGAATCTGTTTGTACTCTGTGTTCACTCACAGCTTCTTTCAAGTCCTGATACATTTTTCTCCTTTGCTTCTGATCCTCTATCCTGTGTCTGCCCAACCCTGTAGACTCATTTATACAAGAATAAACCTGTTAGTTTTCATTAAATACTGAGAAAACGAGGACTGCTCTCATTAAGTTCTATCTAAATGCTGACTCATAATTCACACTATTGTTTTCCTGTTTAAAGTTCATTTTACTCTTCAACCTCCTGAATCTTTACGCTCCTTAAACAGGTCGTCCATCAGATCCAGTGTGTCTCACTTCAGATGTTCTCTTCTTTAACAAAACAACAAAGTGACTGACTGTGGCACCCTTTCTACTCCATATTTATGGCAGTCTGTCAGGGAGTGACAGGCACAGGTGTGTGGTTACCATGTTAACCAGATGAAGCCACTAGCAGCAGCTTTCACATCTCTTCTGACCCTGGTTCTCTTCTTGTCTCACTGGAGTAACTGAGAATCACACAAGTCCACTTCCTGACACTTCCTGTTATTTAGTTACATACATGTAGGTAGCACATAATACAGACTACTACAAAGCAGGTACGTACTTTGCAGGTAAGTAACATGTAGGTACCAGGTACACATTGGTATGTACTAAATAAGTAGACTCTAAATACCAGATACACATTGGTATACACCAGATCAGTAGCCTCTATGTACCAGTTACTTACTTGGCATGTACAAGGTAAGTAGCATAGTTGGTATGTACCATTTAGGTAACATGTAAGTACTAGGTATGTAGCATCAAAGC